GCCTACCAGTTCCATGTATTTTCCTGAAAATGATATAATTTTATTCTTATTTAAAAGCCGAATAGAACTCCATTGTGTATATCTACCATATTTTTTAGGCTGGTTCTATAACTTTGCTATTGTGAGTTTTGCTGTTATAAACATGGGTATGCATTTGTCACTCTAGAAGCCTGGTATGATGACTTTAATTCTTTTGGGTAAACACCAAAGAGTTGCATAGCTGGGTCATATGGTGGTTCCATGCCTAGTCTTTTGAGGACCTTCAGTATTGATTACCATAGGGGTTGAACTAATTTACAACCACATCAACAGTATATAAGGGTTCCTTTTTCCCTGCATTCTTGCTAGCATTTGTTATTATTTGTATTCCTAATGACTGTCATTCTAAATGAGAAGAAATCTCAGTGTGATTTTTTATTTGCCTTTTCCTGATTGCTAAAGTTGTTGAACATTTTTTTGTTTATTTGTTGACCATTTTTGTTTCTTCTTTTGAGAAATCTCTGATTAGCTCATTTGCCTCTTTATTGATTGTGTTATTGCATTTTTAATGCTAAGTTTTTTGAGTTTTTTATATACTCTGAATATTAATCCTCTATCAGAAGAATAGCTGGCAAAGATGTTCTCCTATCTATAAGTAGTCTCTTATAGATGTTGGTTGTTTCCTGTGTTGTGAAGAAGCTTTTGAATTTGATGCCATCTCATTTATTAATTCTTGGTATTATTTACTGAGCATAAGGGCTCATTGAAGAAGTTGTTGCCTATGCCAATATGTTGAAGGATTGACCTTGTGTTTTCTTCTGGCAGTTGCAAAGTTTCTGGTCTTTGATTTGTAGGTCTTTGATCCACTTAGAGTTGAATTTTGTGCAGGGTGAGAGATAGGGATCTAGTTTTGTTCTCCTACATATTGATATCCAATTTTCCCAGCACCATTATTGTTAAAGACACTGTCTTTTCTCTAATTTTTTTTGAGGGGGGCTAAAAAACATGGATCAGATGACTGTTTTTGTGTGGGTTTGTCCGTGTGTCTTAATTACCACCTATATAGTACTCACTATGTTCCAAGTACCGTTAGCTCATATCATCTTTTACAATCCCAAGAGAAGGTACCATTGTTATCCCCATTTTACAGATGAAAAGATTGAGGCACAGAGAAGTCAAGGGAATGGCCCAAGATCACACAATTAATATTTGTCACAGCTAGAATTAAAATCTCATTCTGATTCTAGGGTCCATGAATAGAAAGAAGGCATCAGATAGGAACCTTGAACAGAGTCCATGGTGCAAGTAAAGTAGAATTTTAAATTTTGTTGAATTCCAGTCATCATTTACCTTTTTTGATAGTTTGTAGCTTTCTATACCTGTTTAAGAAATCTATGTCTAGCTTAGAGACACTAGGATAGATCCTGTGTTTTGTTCCAGGGGATTTATACTTTTAGCTGTACATTTAGGTCCATGATACATCCCAATTTAATTTTTATATTCAGTATGAGGGAAGGATAGAGGTTCAGCTTTTTAACTGGGTATTCAGTTGTGCCAGTACCATTTGTTGAAAACTTACCATTTCTCCATTGACTTGCCTGACACTTCTTAAAGAAAAAAGTGTTCAGTGACACTGATGTATTTTGATGAATTTATTTCTTTGTAGTTCATATATGCTGTTAAAAATTGCATTGCTAGCTGGGCATGGTGGTACACACCTGTAATCCCAGCAATTTGGAGACTGAGTCAGGAGGATTACAAGTTCCAGGCCAACCTCAGCATCTTAGGTAGACCCTTTCTCAAATTGAAAAAATAAAATAAAAAGGACTGGGGATATAGCTCTATGTTTAAGCACCCTGGATTCAATCCCCAGTACCAAAAATATATCATATTGCTATTTAATTTTAATTTCTTATTATTACCATTATATGGAAATATAATTGATATATACACATTAAACTTGTATTTTGAGTCATCACTAAATTTGCTTAAGAATTCAGTAACTTTTTTTAGATTCCATAGCATTTTACCATATTGATAATTATGTATTTTATGATTAAAGAGAATTTACTTTTCCTTTTAATCTGTAAGTATTTTTCTTCCTTTCTTTTCTATTTTTAAAATTAGCTTGTGACATTGGCCAGACTTTGACATACAGTGCTGAAGTGAACTGGTAAAATTGGTTATCCTTCCCTTGTTTTTTGTTGTTAGGGAGAAATTATACAATTTTTCACTACTAAGTATTGTGATAGCTAAAGGTGGACATTTCATTAGTGCCCTTTATCGATTTGAGGAAATAACCTTCTGTTCCTAGCCTCCTGAAGATTTTTGTCATGACTGTTACTGAATTTTGTCAAAAGTTTTTTCTTTATTTATCACCAATATGGTGAAGCACATTGATTGATTTTCAAGTATTAAAAGAACTTTGCACTTTCTTGATAATATATTCTAGTAGAGTGTATTTACTATATTTGTTTTGCTCAGATTTTGTAAGAATTTTTAAATCCATGTCCATGAAGATTGTCAGTCTGTAGTTTTCTTATTTTTTAATGGTTTTGGCTGATTTGGGCATCAGGGTAGTGCTAGCCTAGTAAAATGAATTATAGTCTGCATTCTGTTTTATGGGAAAATTTGCATAGATTTGGTATGACTTCTTCCATAAATGTTTCATAAAATTTACCAATGAAGCCATCTGGACTTGGAATTTTCCTTGTAGGAAGGTTTTTAACTACATATGCAATTTGTTTAATAAATAAATGTGGAGTCACTTAGACTCCCCATTCATTCTTGAGTGAGTCAGTGAAATTATAATTTATGCAATGATTTGAAAGACCCACATGGATTTTTATAAACCAAGGGCAGTCCATCTGAATTGTCATACAGATGACATCTTTTAGAAAACCAGAGCAGGAGAACCCATAATTACGGATTCACCTGCCCAATAAAATGTGTTTGCAACCTCAAAATCAGTACTTATGGCACTTTTGTGATCATACACAGAAAAACACAGGTGAAAAAAAAAGTTGAGTCACCAATGCCCACAATCTCAGCAGCAGGTTAAAAATAAAAGGGGGGGGGGACAAGGCTCTGTTTTCATTTCCATTCCCATACACAGATGAAGAGAGAATGGAGATGGGAGGAGACAGGGCAGTACAATGCTAGAAACTCCAGCTTTGGGGCTAGGGGCTAGTTGACAGAGTTTGAATCCTGGTTTAGACACCTATCAGTGGGGGTAGCCTCCCTCAAAGTCACTTAACATCTGATTCAGGCAGGCTTTAGGAAGGACCAAGAATTGCGACTGTTAGGAACCTTTGAAGATTAAGAGTACTATACATATGAAACTTGGTTTAAAAATCTTTTTAAGGAATAGGTACCATTTTACCTTTTCCTGCACCAATCAYTACCATTATTTTATTTAAAAAATTGAAAATTTACACTCTAAATAAAGTGAATGAGATATGGCCTGGATTTAGGAGCCTCAGGCACAGCTAAATTTTGAAATAATCAGAGATTTATATTTAAACAGAGAGACCTCTACCCTCTACTTCCTTTCTGGGTTTTAAATTAACTTTAAGATAGGTTCCTGCTCCCCAGAGAGGGAACTGCCAATTTCTCTCTAAAGCAACTGACTGGCCTAACATTCAGATACTGAATTTTGGGGATTTCCCAGATGAACAACATCTGGAGGACTTCAATCCAGCAGTAAAACTTCACCAGTCCATAAACTTAACTCGGCACTCAAGAAATAATTTTGTTTGTTTGCTGTTTGTTTTGTTAGCCTTTTAGTTTTTCACTTGTAAACATAAATGAACAATGAAAGATTTCCAGATATTGGTAAAAAAAAAAACTCTTAATTTGAAGGCAGAGGTTACAAATTAAAAAGTAGAAAACAATAACTTGAAAGAAAAAAGATAATTCAGGGAGACCTCCAAAACACTCCAAAATTATCTCTGACATTCCCAAAGGGAATTGTATATCCCAGAAGAACTGCACATACATGAAACATGAACAGGAACCTGATAAAGAGAAGAGTCAGGGAAGTAAACAGTAATGGTTGCATAATGAAAATGCAAAACCTATGGTTTTCAAATTATGAAAAATTTCAAGATGGAAGCAACCCAGCATTAGCATGAAATCAAATATGGGACCCTTCCCAGCCCAGGGACCTCTGTGACCACACAAACCCATTACACTGGACCAGGGAAGAAGAAAGCTCTTGGAAATGAAATATACAATAGTATAAATAAGAAAAACGAAGAGTTGGAATATAAAATAAGGAAATTTCCCAAGAAATTGAACAAAAAGATGGAAGAATATTCAAGGAAAGTAGAAGATAGAATAGAGATTCAAAATATAAATTTGGAGTCTCAGAGTATAGAAAATATAGAGTGAAGAAAATAATTCTAGAAATAATATAAGACAAGTTTCCAAACTGAAGGATATGAGTTTATAAATTGAAAGGGCCAAGGTAAGACACTTACTATGAAATGTTGTATTTTCATGAATAAAGATATTTTTCCAGAAGCTTTCAAAGATGGATAGAAACAAAATAATCCAATCACATATAAAGGATTGGAAATCAGAATGGGAGCAAAACCATAATGTTCACTTAACCAGAAATTGTGATATAACTAGTATTTTGAAAGGCTGTGGAGAAGGGAAGGGAGTAAAAAGGCTGAATCATCATCTACCATAGTAAGAAGTCAGTGGACTGTCCATCTCACTGAAATTTCAGGAAAGAGCAAGAGAAGCATTCAATTTAGAGATTTTGGGGGTAAAACGAACATGTGGAAAAAAAGAAAACCTGTCTCAACTAAGAGGCAGAGGTCTCTTGAGTGCCAGAATTGTATTGGGGAAATAAAGCTACTGTTTTTCAATGTGAATCATGTAGAGCTGGTGCCCTTATAACTACAAGTGATAATAATTTAACAATTAAAACGGAATTAAAAAGTAGATAAGGATTCATTGCGTTTTGCGTGGGACTTTAACAGATGTGACACTAATGATTCTGCTCTCCCCAGATTCCCGATACATTCTCCTGCCTGTCGTGTTACATCACCTCCACATTCACTTGCAAGAACAGAAGGACTTGATCATGTGTGCGCGTATCCTTAGCAACGTATTTTGCCTCATCAAGAAAAACAGCTCAGTAAGTAAATACAGGTCATAGTACGTAGTTCCCATCAAAGAGCTTCTGGAAATAAAATTTTAAATATCTTCAAAGAAACCATGCTACAGAGGAACCCTCTGAGACTCACTTTCATTTGCAGCTGGACTGGGTTGTTGTTGGGTTTGTTGTTGTTGTTGTTGTTGTTGTTGGTTTTTCTCGGAAGGAATTTTTTTTACCCTTGTGGGATTGCTGTAACCCCAGCTAACCTGGGTTCTTAAACTTGGGTTTCAAGAAAGAACTGAATACCAAGTGAGAAAAATTAGAAAGTTCAAAGCCTCCCACATGTGTCTTTAATCTTGATGTGATGAACACTCTGTGGCAAGAATAAATTACTACTTGCAAAGGAGTTGTTGGGGTCCATTCTGTGAAAGGCCACATCGTGATGCTCAGGGCTTGGCTTTGGCTCTTAGGTCTGGTCCCATGGAAATTGTGGAAGCAAAGGACAACCCCAGGAGACTAGGGGTAACTTGCAATTCTTTGCCCCCAACAATAGTAATCTAAATTGTTATGGCTTTGGGGATTCTTGTCACGGTGCTTGACTCTTGACACAGTGCATTGGGTTAGAGAATGTGGTACAAAATAAGAAAAACAGCATGCTTGCTTATAAATCAGACAAACCCAGAGTATTTCTGTTAATGGCTCAGGGATCTGGTGTGAAATACACATAGGAAGGATGTCCTGTTCCAGTTCTGTCACTCTGCAACTGTTAATTAAGCATTGTTCTCATTGGTAACAGGTTGTACAAAGCAGAATTTTGGCAGCCAGTGCTGAGATGCCTGTTTCTCTGCCTGCCTATTAACCTCTATGCTACAGTTTTCCCATTTTTGTCACTGTTATGATCAGCTCTGAAGAACTGGGATGGGTCCCTAGGGGAGCAGTGGAGCGAGGGCCCCAGTCATGTAGGAACAGAGTTGGTATTTGAGAGTAAAAGGCTAGAAACCCTGCATGTAAAACTGTGAGAAGAGGGCCATGCATGGAAAGGAACAGTTCACTTTCACCCACCTCAGTGATCCAGGCCCCAGAGGTGATCTGAAACTGGGTAGAACAGTGGCAACAAGGAAAAGCCATACATTCTGATTTAAAGTTCCCTCTGGGGCTGGGATATAGCTTAGTTGGTAGAGTGCTTGCCTTGCATGCACAAGGCCCTGGGTTCAATCCCCAGCACCACCCAAAAAAGAAGAAAAAAATTCCTTCTGTATAATACATAGTTGGAATGTTTTTCCAAATTATAATTCCTGCAGTTAAAAAGTAAGCCAGATTTTTCACTACACAAAACCAAAAATAAATATCAGCAGTAGTGGAGGTTATTTCTCCTTCTTTATTTCGACTTGGAAGTTAAAGTCAGGTTTTGGACCTAGCTGATAAGGATTTCAGAGCAGAAACCTACTCACTGGAGGGAAACCTTGGTAGCTTTATTGCAGGTGTAGGAAAGTTCATCATAAAAATCATAGCCAAAAGGCTCGTTAGAACTCACACTTCCTAATAGTATTCTTTATAGAGTGAGCTCCTTGGTAAGGAGCCCTTGTACACAGAGTTCTGTCTTGTGCAAGTATAATAAGAACCTAAATCTGCTATGTACAGTCAGTGCAGAGCAATTTGAATTTGTCTCTCAAATCCTGGGGGCTTGGGTAGTATTAACTGTGCTTCAGGAAAGCAGTTCTTGCCACAGCTGACCCTAGCTCCACAGTAGCTAAGGATGTTTGTCTAGACTGATCACCGTTTCCTAATATTTACATGTAGGATTTTTAAAAATCATGTTTTATAGGAATAGTCATTTGCATATCAACCAGAGTTTTGGAGAATTACCTGTATGGCTCCAGTGCTGAGAAGAGTAAATGTAAGCACAATTGGGAATCACGGAATTATAGACTCTAAGAACCAGAGGGGACTTTCAGTGAGGAAGCAGGCCCAGAGAGGCAGTCTGATTTGCTTGAGGTACATGCCTGTTAGGGCATAGCTGACAGTCTCAATTAGCCTACTGTGCTTCCTATGGCCTCACCCCAACTTTTCATTCGTATCTCAGGTATCCGTTGCATGGCCAGGTGGTGTACCCTTGAGTAAGCTGTAACTTCTCTGGGCCTTGGTTTTCTGTAAGGTCATTCACTTATGTGAGGTCCGGATCTCTCATGCTCTTGAGTTCTCTGAGTCTCCAATTCTGTATTTGGAAATGGACCTTTTTCCCCTTTGCAATTAAAGAGAGAATAATATACCTATTAAGCCACAATTTCCTGAAGATTTTTTTCTCCTTAGGAAAAATCTGTGTTGGAGGAAATAGATGTGATAGTGGCCAGCCTGCTGGACATCCTGCTGAGGACCATCCTGGAGATCACCAGCCGACCCCAGCCATCCGGCTCCACAATGCGGCTCCAGTTCCAGGATGTGACTGTAAGATTAAAGCAAATGGCACTTGGAACAGGGCCTAATTTGACTTCTTAAAGCTTCAGTCATTTTGAGGGTGGGTTGCTCTAAGAATCCAGAAAATCCAACCTTGCAAGAGTATGTGTGAGCATTTCAAATGTATGTGAGTTCTCCTTCATTTAATAAGAAAACTGTCGTATGAATCTTGTGGTTAAAAGATCTTACAACAAGCAGTTTCTAATTTCAGAAAGTCAACTTTGATATTAGTTTTCATTTTGCCCAATTTAATCTACAGTTTTATATCCCCAGTTAACTTGGTAACTTTTCATTCTCTTTTCATCTATCAGATTACCTGAGGAACCCAAAATAGTGAAATAAGGCCATGAAAGTCAGGGTCCTTGGATTCAAATTCTGGATTTTTCACTGTGTCTAGCCAGGGTCTTTACTCTGCTAGACTTCAGTTCCTCTCAGCTATGGTATGATAAGATATGACTTGGTAAATTCTAAGGGGCCTTCAAGCTCCACTATCTTATGAGTCTAATGTAAATAATGCAATTCATATAAACTATTAAGAAATAATATAACTGATAGTTTATATACACATACACACACACACACACACCAGCGCACACACATATACATATATTTAAATGTGTGTATACACATACTTTTTTTCTCTTTCAGCAGTGCTAGGAGCCTTATGCATACCAGACAAGCTCTGTACCACTAAGCTATCCTTAGCCCTTGCACACACATATTTCTATTTAAAATTCACATTCAACTACTAAAAACTATCTTTAGTCTTTATTAAGAATATTCTCAGACATTCAGCCAGCCTTTCCAGGCAACACACCTTCTACCCTGGCCTAGTTTGTGTGTAACCTCGCGAAAATGGCCCCAGAGCTGGTGAATGCTGCTGTGGCTTACTCAAAGACGCAACTGGGCACATTTTGGCATCCCTCCAAGGTTGAGCTTGTTCCTCCAACCCCTGATGAGATCCCTACAGCTATTCAGAGCCTGAAAAAAATAGTCAAGAGTGCTCAAACTGGTAGCTTCAAACAGTTCACAGTTAAGGAAGCTGTGCTTAATGGTTTGGTGGCCACTGAAGTGTGAATACTATTTTATATAAGAGAGATCATAGGCAAGCGTGGCATAGTTGGCTACAACATTTGAAGACCAATCTTTAACATCTGATTATATTTGATTTATTGTTTGAGTTTTCTTGGACCATATATGATCAGATTGCTATCTGAATAAAATAAGATGTGTCAGGGGGAAAAAAAGAATATTCTCTCAAGCAAATGGTATCATTTGCAGAAATGGCATTAGATGCTGTAGTTTTCATGTATAAATTATTTACAACAGTGTCAACCTTTTCCATCAGTTTTACCTATAATGTGTTTTGGAACTGCTGTCTTAAAAATGTTTGCCTAGGTCCTGGTGCAAACAATTTTTATTTTTACTTAAAATAATAAGAATTCTGTAGCAGTTTTCCCATAAAGGTTGGCTGTTTCATGATGGCTATCTTGTGTTGCTTTCTTCTTGCTTCCATCATAAGATTTACCTGAATAAACTAAATTCCATTTTGAGGAAGTAAAGTTAAATTCTTTCTATTAATAAGTAGAGTTGGAAGTAGTATGAAAAACTTTCTAATTAGTATACTCACCACACTGCTTCTTTAAAAGAAGAATAAAATAACAGTTTCTCATTGGCCTGAGGCATTTTACCTGTAAAATGGGGCCTGACTTCTAGAGTTTATTGCATATACTTACCATATTACCTGGTGCACAATAAATGCTCACAGCGTGTTACTGTTGCTTACTGACAATGGAGTTTAAAGATTTGGGGGTTTTGTTTTAAATTATGAGTTTAAAGGTTTGGGGGTTTTATTCTCAATTTGGGGTTTCTTTCATCTTTTATAGATCAAACTTTTTTAAATAAGTATACAATCACATGCAGTTAAGAGAAATAATATAAAGCTATCCCATGTGGCTTTTACTTAGTTTTCTCAATGGTAACCTCTTGCAGAAATCTAGAATAACATCACAACCAAACTATTGAAATTAATACAATTGAGATGCAGACTATTTCCATCACCCTGAGTATTTCTTGTGTTGACATTTTATAGCTAAACCCACTTCCTTTTCACCTCCACCTCTTCCTTAACCCCTGGCAACACAACTCTGTTCTCTATTTCTGTAATTTTGTCATTTCAAGAATGTTATATAAATAGAGACATATAGCATGTTAACCTTTGTGACTTTTTTTTTTAACTCAACATAATTCTCTGAAGAGTCATCCAGGTAGCTGTATCACTAGTCGCTGGTTTCTTTGTTTGTTTGTTTTTTGTGTTTTGTGGGGTTTTTTTTTTTTTTTGGTAGTTGTAGATGGACAGCATACCCTTATTTTATTTATTTTTATGTGGTGCTGAGGATCAAACCCAGTACCTTGCATGTGCTAGATAAGCACTCTGCCATTGAGCTACATTCCCAAACCTCACTAATTGCTTTTTAATTGCTGAGTGTCATTCCATGGTATAATAGAACATGGTGCTTAACCATTCACCCACTAAAGGTCACCAGGGTTGTTTCCAGATTTTGGCTATTACCATAAAGCTGTTATATGCATTGTATAAGTTTTATGTGAACATAGGTCTTATTTTCTGTAGTATAAATTCCCAGGGGTGTGTAACTGCTAACCCATATGGTAGCTGGGTGTTTAGTTTTTTTTTTTTTTTTTTTTTAAGAAACTGCCAAACTTTTTTCCACAGTTGCTATGCCATTTTATATTCCCATTTATGAATAGGTTCTTAACACCCTCATTAGCATTTGGTATTGTCACTTAATTTTTGTTTTCAGGAGCAGGAGTACTTTCTGATAGATGTAGAGTGATATTGTGGTTTTCATTTGCATTTCTCTAATAACAACCCAAATATTCTTTTCATATGCTTATTTGCCATCTATATATCCACTTCAGTAAAATATTTCTTCATATTTTCCCATTTTCTTATGGAATTGCTTTTTACTGTTGAGTTTTTGATAGTTCTTTATATACTCTATATATTATGTAGTTCATTTTTCAGTACATAATTTGTAGATGTTTTCTCCCACTCTGTAGTTATTTTTTTTTTCATTCTCTTATCAGGGTTTGCAAAAGCAAATATGTTTAGTTTTAGTGAAGTGTAGTTTATTAATTTTTCCTTTTATGGGTCCTGCATTTGGTGTMAAGTCTAAGAAGTCTAGTTCTGTATCCTGAAGTTTACCACCTAGTTTTTTCCTAAAAATTTTATGATTTTATAATTAGCATCTAATGCCATGAACCATTTTAAGTTAATTTTTGTGCAAATTGTGTTGAACCATTTTAACACCACCATCATCTCAATGTTGACATCTGTTGACAGTCTTTTTTTCATTCAGTTTGAATTCTTCTTGACTCTTGGTATAATGATTTTCATTTGAAATCCGAACATTTCTGTGTTATAATGTTCTGGATCTTATGTAAGCCTTCTGTTTTTGCTAGATTTATGCAGTATCACTCAGCTGGGAAAGAAGAGGATGCCAACTTATTATGGCCAGATGGAGATAGAAGCCCAGATCTCCCACTTGGCCTCCACTGACACCTGAGGGAAGAGGGATGTTGTTACTGTTGGATAGCGATGGAAAGTTCTGGCCCTACCCATAATCTCTACTTGCCGGGTTTCTGTTCTCGAGACTAATAGGCTCRGGGGTCACTCCAGTTGAACTGACTAACTGGGCTGCGCAAAATAACCACACAAGAGACACAAATACCTTTTCCTTAGGGGTCGCTGTGACGGCTCCTCTGACCTTAAGGGTCCGCAGAAAGAGAGAGAGAGCGAGAGCACGTGCTGACCCCTTTTATTGAGGAGAAGCTATTCAAATGAGGCAAGGGGTCAGGTTTCAGGGGGCTGARTCTATCTTCATGATGTCCACTGTCAGCAGGTTGACTGACACCTGGGTAGGCCACACCCAAGGGCACAGTAAGAGGAGGGAACACACACAGGCACTTCCATGGAAGATTCTATCCTAAATAGGGCAAGGGGTTATATTACAAAGGAACAGGTGAGCGTAGCTCCACCCATGGGACTGTAGGAAGACACACCCAGGCACTGAGACACTGACCCTTGAACCCAAGAAGGGTGGGGAAAGCTCTGCCACATTTCTGTGACTGAGCGCCTCCACACCCCACCGGGGGAGTGTGACTCAGTCACGTGTAAGGTTGGTCTCCCACGTCGACTGACACCCTTGTGAGAGTGCCCCTGTTATTCCTGGGCAGGGGTGAATGTCCTCACTCTCCAGGAGGCTTCCTCTGGCACCACCCAATGGGGAGAGAAAAGTGGGATTGTTCCTGGGAGGCAGTGATGGACGTCCAGACTCCCCACCTCCACTGACACTTCCCACTGGGGATGAAAGTACCTGCCCCCAGTTGGGCTTTCTCTGCCACAGCTCTGGGAGAAATATTGGGGCTTCTTATTACTCGTGAGAGTAAGAGTCTAGGCCCCCACCTGGCCTTCAAGGTGTAAATGTGGGTAAAGCCAACAATTTTTGTGGTGTTCTGCTGGAATAGAGTGGTTATTACTTAAACTATTATCTTGTCAGGGTCCCCCTCTTCTGGTCCTTTTGTTACAGAGCAGGCTTCTCTTAGGGTACCCCCCCCCCCCGCCCCCGCCGCCATCACTCAACTGTTGGTGTTTCAGGAAGGCCTGCTTCTGTAATCAAGTCTGGGGTGAACAAGGCCAAAAGAATAGAGCACCGTGACCTTCCTTGGGTCCCAAGTTTCCTGGCTAGACTGTCTTCTTTCTCCAGCTTGTGGATCTTCTTCGGTTTGTTTTATATATTATACTATCCAGGTTTTTAAGTGTGTTTAGCAGGAACAGTAGCGAGAAGTATACCTACCACCCTTTTACCTCAGAAGAAGGGAAGTGTTCATTATGGTTTTAATGGTAATAATGTAACTACTTCCTGGAAATAAAGCTCTTACATGAAATTATCATTGCACAGCAAAGAGAA